CTTTCCATGCTCAATCCCCATACGTTAAAATCCACCTCGTCGATCTTCCATCTCTCCTCCATCTCTCTCTTATGGTTAGCAGATTGCTCGCCATATCTCAGAACTGTAATTCTGGTCTTGCCTCCATGCGCGACGTTCACACCATCTACGTCTCTATAATCCTCTATCACCGACTCTAGGCTTGTTTCCCAGAAAATATCGTCCAGGTCCTTAGTCCTCATCCCTATGAGTCTCGAGTCCTCGAACTGAACCAGAAGTCCAGATCGCTGGCTGAAATATCCCCATATGGTGTGATGGATGATCTCATAGTTTGGACCACTCTGAGCTTCACGAATCGCAGGACTCGTCTCCACCTTGAGTATAAAGCAATCATCGCCATTTATTATCTTCTCTCCTATGCATGCTGCCCAAGAACAAGTTCGCCGTAGCTCTTGGATCCAAACCCTATCACAGCAGAAATTACATCATTCAGACGATTAAAGAGCCTGCGAATTAATTAACTCTGAAGAACTGAGATTGAGGCTGAGCATGTACCTGAAGGAAACGGCGAAGGGGTCTAGGAGGGCCTCTGGAAACTGGGCTTTGTTGATTAGAGGAATGACGCCAAGAGACCTTGCCATTGCTGCCACAACAAACCTTGCAACCAGAAGCGATCATCTCTAAGCACCACAAGTCTGGATCCTTTTGCCACAACACGAACCCTGCAATCTCTTCTGAGCTTTTCTTCACTTCTATGTTATCGCTGGTTTGATGAAATTCTGAGGCGTTAATCTTAATCTGTCCCGTCACGCACATGCTCTGCAAAGCATTCAACGCAGGCTGTCCTCCTGTTGCTGCTATATACTGCTGCACTATGTACTTGGCCGTCGATGCTTCCTACACGAAAACAGACTATAGTCTTCAAAACCGAATGAAACTGCGAATGAAAACTGAAAAGTTGATTCTTACAATGGAACAATCTCTGACTGGGCGATGAATGGAATGGCCTAACTGAACCTGAAGAGGGATGAGAGGGGATCCGACGAGATAGAGTAGAAAGCGAAGCTCGTTGAGACGTTTTGCGAATATGGGAGATGCTAATTTGTCTGCGGTCTGAGCCTTCATCCACGTTAACATATTCTGCCATCGCAACGCCACGTTGCTTCCCATGCTCGCGAACATTTCTTCTGGTATGGGCACTTCCAGGACAGTCTCTAACCCATCTTCTCTCTCTTTTGGACAAAGCCTTCTGATGGATGCTTTTGCATTTGCCTGTTTCATTAGGGTTTGTTCAGACAAGGGACGAGGAAGAAGAAGCTAGAACTTGATTGAGTGGGGGAGGAAATTAAAGAAAGAGATCCGGCTACAAGGAATGTGGGAGTCAAATGATTAAACCATTTTTGTTTGGGGAGAAAGTAAGGATGGGGCTATCTCGGGAAAACGAAATAAGGCTGCCCTTGCTTGTAGGTGTCTTGCGGTAGCAAGATTTGATTGATTCTATTGCTTTACTTTCTATTTTAAGGATCAAAATTATTATTACTATTTGCAAATTAACTGTTTCAGCCGTGAATTATGTACTTCCCGGCTTCTCTGATGGAATAGTATTATATTTGATATTGTATTAATGTCGCTACCTTCACTAATTTTTCGTCCCCAAAATTCTTTCGATGCCTTCCAAAGGGGAGAGTGAACCAAGATGTAATTTTGGCTTAAAAAAAGAAAGATGTCGAAGATCAACAAGCTATTACTTCCTTAAAAAAAAATTAAATTACATACTATAACAAAATATTTTATTTATAAGTCTTAAATAATGCCACATTTCTTGGATTCTATGTAAAGGGTTAAGCACACGGATTTTGGAGTCTCCACTTCTTTTTCCTTCATTTCCTTCCATTTTTTCTATCCCCATCATTTATTAATTTTATCATTTAAAAAATTATTTAATAAAATAACTTGAATGGTAGGGATTGAGAAAATGGAGGAGAAAACATGGAGAAACCCCTCTCTCCAAACCCACAGGGATTTAGTTTCGGGATAAGCACTGTGGTGCTCAATATCAACACGTTGTCGTGTCAGTGTTAACTTTTTTTTTTTTAAAACACAAGTTATTATTATGATAATAAATAAATATAATAAAATTATTATTTAAATATTTAATAAATAAATAATTTTAACTTGTTAGCATTTGACTTGAACATTTCAAATATAAATTTTAGACTAAATAGTTTAGAATTGTATTGAAAAAATTAGAACTATAATTAAAAATATTTTACAAAATATATTTTTAATTTTATTAATTTTGCATAGTTATCCATCTACTAAAGGTAATATCATTCAAGGTACGGTTGAATATTAAATATAAGAAATTTTTTTAATGGAATTCAAACACTGATTTGTTACATTATAAGAAATTAGCTCATTCTGATAGACCCATTAACCCTTATTTTAAACTATTCACGTCATTTTTTTAAAATTTCTTTTAGAATAGTTCTAAGCTATTTAGGTCAAAATTTGTATCTAAACTATTCAGGTTAAATTTATGTATTTATTAAATACTAAAATAATAAGTTTATAATATTTAAGAAAAAATTTAATGCTGAAGCAGCAATGTTTTGGTGCTAAGCACCAAAACCGAGTCTAGCCTACAGTTTGATTAAGGGAAAAATGATACTAAAAGATCAAAAGATTAAATTAAACTTAAATAAGGACAAGGTTTTGGAAATTAAAAAAAAAAACAAGAGATCTTTTAGTGAATTAGTTTAAAAATTTGTTACTCTCATTCTATAATCTGCAACTCTCACTATTAAAAAAATCAAAATTAGTTATGAAAAAATTTGTTATTAATTAATCAGTAAAATCCATCACTAATTTTGAATTACTCATCACTAATTTTTATTAAAAATATGACATCACTAATTTAACAATAGAAACATAAATGAATTATAATTAAAAGTTTGCCACTCTCATTCTATGACTTAGCTCAAAGCAAAAATTTACAAAAACTTAAGGCTCAAAGCAAAAATTTACAAGTGAGATTTGTGAGAAAACTTGTCAAATGGTACACTACTACTTGGAAATTGTTTTCTTTCACATCATACGAATCTTATTTGCAAATTCGGGTTTTGAGAGCTGCAACTAAGAGGATGAGAGTAATAAATAACTAGAAATAGTGATGATAATAACACGTTTTTTTTATAATGCTATATATGATAAGTTTTTCCTTTATAAATATTGGGGAATTTTACTTTCAAATTGAGAAATTTTATTTGCAAATCATGAAATGAGAGTAACAAATTTTAAACTAACCAACTAAGGAATTTTTTAGCCTTTATTTCATTTCAGATTTTCAAAATTTTTTATACTTATTTGAGTTCAATTTGATTTTTTTTTTGTTATCTAAAGTATCTTCACAATTAACAACTATGAAACTAATTTTTTAAGAAATTTAAAGGTCATTTAAAGAATTCTCATTTTTTAAGAAATGTTTTTTTGTACACATCTCTAGGAATTGATCATTAAAATGATGTTTAAGGGGTCCAAACTGTTAACATCTATGTCACATCCATTGGATTAATTTGATTTTTTCATTCCCCTTTAGTTATAGTTAGCGTAAAAGAGAAGAATAAAAACAACATGTGATTAAGAATAATAATTTATTTAAATAGACAAAGCCTATTTATAGCCAATTACGTGAATAAAAAATAACGAACAATGGAATGAGAAATTTAGAACCAACGTTATAAAATGCTAAATAAAATGTACAACATGATTTAGTCAATTATTTAAATTAAATTATTCAACATGTGTGAGTGAGTGAATGTGTGTGTGTGTGTTTTTCCCCCCTTAGACAAACCAAATGATCGCTAACTTTAATATTATTAGTGATACCTTGATTTCGAACTTCAAATCTGATACAATTTTGATGTTATAGTATTCCATTTACATATTTCTTTGTCATATTTATTTACAGGATAACGGGGGAAAAAGAGTTGCCTAGAGTTGAAATATAAATTATTTAACCTATATATCTTTTACTTTTGTCCTTGAGGAATTTATTTATGATTCAATGATTCATAAAATCGGGGATTGTCCACGTTTTCTTTATTTTTTGAAAAATACATAAAGCTTGAAAAGGGAACCAACTCATGACTAGTGAAGAGTTTGTCTAGCCTCCATGACAATCTGAATATGCAGTTAGGAGGGATAACGGATTAGTGTTTCAAAGCCCACATTGTGAGCTCCTTTTGCCAAACTGTCAGCGAACTGGATATTATTAACTCTGTTTCAGTCGAAACCGGTTTCGGTGCTCAGCAGGTGATGCTCATTATCTAGCAAGATCTGAACATTTTTTTTTAATTTCAATTTCAATTTTAATTTTATAAAAATAAAATTAATTTTTTTTTTATAAATATATTCATCATCAATCTAGACAGTACTGATTTAATTTGAATGATTCAATTTAAAGTTATAATTTTTAAAATTCTTATTTTAAATATATTTTTGAACAGTCCACATTCAATATTAAATTTTATCTGTAAGGTCTCGATTTACAGTTTTTATTTTTATTTTATATTTATTAAAATAAAATAAAAAATTATTAAAAATTTAATAAAATAAAAAATGATTAAAAAATTTAATATTGAATCTTGTTTGTTGTCTAAAGTATATTTAGATAGTTAGTTTTATAAAAATTATAATATTAAAATTAAATTATTCAGAATTTCAGATTGAATCAATACTGTCCAGATAATGATGAATATATTTATTAAAAAAAATTTCTAAAATTATTTCTAAAATATAAAATATAAAAGTAAAATTAAAATTAAATAAAAAAAAAAAAACTGAACCATTCAGAGATTAATGATCCAAATCTTGCTGGACGATGAGCACCACGGTGCTCAGCAGCCAAAGCCGGTTCCGTTTCAGTCTCTATAGATGAGGCCTCGATTTGCTATATATCTATATATATATATATAAACATCTCGAACCAGGCTACCAAGAAATTATAAGACCACATTCTGTGATTACTATGAACAATAATCAGTTAATGACTCAACGGAGATAGCGACATACAAATATATATGTATCATCATATGCGCCTGTATACCAAACTCTTCTCAAAATGGCTCACTAAGTCCCCTGACTTCTCACCAATTATGATGTTGACCCATCAAAAGAAAAGTCCAACCTCATCACTAAACACACACACTTGAAGAAGCTAAGCTAAGCATTCTGAGCAGGATCAGTTTCTGTATTTTCACTACGATTCTTGTGTTTGCTGAAGAGCATCTCAATCTCTTCCAATGACTTCTCTTTAGTCTCAGGGCAGCAAATAAAGAAGAAAGTCCAAGCTACGGCGGATATCCCGCAAAACAAGAAAAACGTCCCTCCTATGGTGATCGCCGTGTAGATGGAAATAAAACTCATCGAAACGGCAGCGTTCATGAGCCTGTTCACCGCCACTCCGACCCCAGCACCTTGGGCCCTCAACTTCAGAGGCCATATCTCCGAGCTGTATACCCACGTGACAGGCCCAAGCCCACTATTGAAGCAGGCCACGAAAGCGTAAGTGGCCACTAGGCTCACGATCAAGGCCCACTCGAGCTTCTCCTTCGAATGATCCGCGATCGTCAAGCTTATTCCCAGCACGGCGAGCGCACAGATCATCCCCCCCGTGCTCAAAAGCAAAAGCCGTCTTCTTCCTACTCTATCGAGTATGAATGTCGCTATTGTCAGGAAAAACACTTTCGTGCCTCCTACTCCTATCGTCGCCAGCAAAAGCTTTTCCCTCTGTGTGATCCCAGCTTTCCTGAAGATTCTTGGACTGTACAGCATGACGGCTTCGATGCCCGTCGCATGCTCAAAGAAGTGAATTCCGATGGCGGCGATTAGGATCCGGCGGACGGTCGGAGTCGGATGGATGAGCAACTCTTTCCAAACGCCTTCTCCTTTGCCTTTTTTCGGAAGCTTAACGACGTCGTCTTCGCAGTTCTCGTCAATCCCTACGGCCATTTTAATGTCCTTGAGGCGAACTTCGGCCTCTTCTTGGCTGTTGGAGATTTTCAGCAAAACTTTCTTGGCGTGTCCGAGACGGCCTTTCAGTGCAAGCCATCTTGGAGACTCGGGCATTTTGAAGATTGCGAAGAGTAATGCGAGTGAAGGAACCGCTGCGATGCCAAGCATCAATCTCCATCCGATTTTCAGAGGTAATTTTCCGAAGAAGTAGTTTATGATGTACCCTAGAAAGATGCCGATGCCAATACCGAGCTCCGGCAGGGAGGATAGAAAACCACGGGTTTTAGCGCCGGCAATCTCTGCGGAGTAAACGGGGGCTACCATGAGAGCGAAGCCCACGCCAATACCGGCAGCGCACCTTCCGATCAGTAAAACCACGAAGTTTGGGCCGTAACCCATGAGAACTGAACCCACCATGAAGAGGAAAGCGGCTATTGCGATGGTCCACCTGCGACCAATGTTGTCGGAGGTTCTTCCGGCGACCAAGGAACCCACCAATGCGCACAGGTTTAAGATGCCAGCTAGAACCTGCACTTGGGTGTCATTGATTTTTAGTTCTTCCTTCATGAATAGCATCGCTCCACTCATCACTCCAGTGTCTGAAGAAGACAGAAGAAATATTGACCAGAAACGAACATAGTTAAATATGATACAGAGACTAAATATATGTGTAATGGTCTGAACAATATTGGAGATGAATCATGAAAAACCTGTGCTCACTTGTAACAATGTTTTCTTAATAATACTTTTAAACAAATCAGCACAGATTTTTCATATACATTAATAATCTGAATATGATCTCTCATATATTTGTCCGGAGAACTATCCTTGTTGGGTCTTAATTTGCGACTCAAATCTGGTCAGTAATACGAGACGATATGGTTTATCACAAAAAGAGAATAGGGAATTGGATTAAAAAAAAAAAAACATGAGATCAGAAAGGCTTACCATAACCAAATATGATGGTTATCATGGAAGCGAGTATAGCAGAAGCAAGAGCAAATTTATTGGTATGGTTGTCGGCGCTTTTGTCCATTGGATCAGCCATAATTCTTCTATGCACAGGTGCTTCTCTAATAAGTATGTATGTGTGTGGGTATAAATAGGAGGATGTGGCACGTAGTTAACCACAGGAAAGCCCTGCTTAACGATTAGCGAGTGAGTTCTGGTGCCCACTTCTAAGATACGCAAGTAGAAGACAAAGAACACGAGCTTAAATTAGGCAAGAAAATGGTGAGAGTTATTCAAGAGAGAAAAGTGTGGAAGAATTCCACCAGCGTCGGAATTATCTAACTGTCCTGACTTTGGAAGGATTATTATCACAAAAACAGTTCAAATTTTGATTTATTTTGGATAAGATTAAACAAAATCTGACCTGATTATTCGTCAGATCCGCCTGCCAGATGTATATGTAAACATGTACGTGAGCTAATGACCAGGAGGGTACTCATCTTTGAATGTGATGAAAATAAAGTCTATCCACAAGAATTGGAGCCAGTTATTATTAACCATCCGAATGCCTTCTCATCTGTTAACCAAATTTCAACGAGAAATCTTCATTAACTTATCTTTATTGTTCTAAACATCTTCAAAAGGTTACTATGATTGAACCTGAACGATGCGGCTGGTACGTACCATGGTGAATAAAGTCCTTGTCGTCAAATTAAGCACTCAAGTCTCAGCTGGTATCTGTAACGTCGACCCGAAAAAATTAAAGATTGAGACGAGAAAATGATGCGTCGGTATCGTCTTTTTAATATTAAAATATCCGTTTATTTTCATTTTTTTCTGCCGACACTTCGATATTTGTACCTCAAATGTGATATATAATTATAGAGAATTGTTTTTTGGGAGTATGCGATGTGGAAAAAGGAGAGGAAGAGAGAGAAAGAGAAAGGAAGGAGAGAGATAATTTAATCCTAATCCTCTTTTTAAAACATAAATTAAGATAACAAAGGTATCATATTTTATTGATAATTAATAAAATCTAAAATATAATCATAAAAAGATTGTGATAAGAAAATCCAACTAAATCTGAATATTCAAAATATTCTTATTTTTATCCAAATAAGGTAAAACATTCAGAAGAAGATAATGCATATATTCCATCATTTTGCATAAGTATGTTTAGAATTTTAATTTTTTGCCGCGTTGTCATTGGCTACATATAAATAAATTAAGAAATATGCAAAAAAGGCTGGGCAAAGACAGAGGAAGGGAGAGAGACATGATTATGCTTGCTAAATCCAATAATAGTTTGAAGGGAAAAATAAAGGCAAAATGTACAGAAAGGAAAAAAAGAAGAAATGGCGTTTGAGGCCCCTTTCAAAAGAATTTATTATAATAAGGGTACATCAATTTTGTGTCTGATAGTCTCTTATAAAACACTTATATGCTATTATTAAAAGCTGAATCTCAATTTATATTTTTTGTTAGGTTTTCTTTTATAAATTTAATAACTTAATATTTACTTTTTAACAATACATATGTATTTTCACCGATACAAAATTAATAGGTTTTTATTGTAATGAGAGGGTTTTAAATGTCATTTTTTTGGGAAAGAATTGAAAAAAATGTCAAATAATATGGAAAATAAGAGACATGCAGTTATGCCCTCTCTTCAATGCGAAAGTCCAGCACTGTTCACCAGGTTGGCCCTTCTATTAATTAAATGGTTTGCACGGCATAATTCAATTCAGTTAGAGTCATTTTAGAGAATCTAGAAGAAATTAAAGAGAAGCAAAGAGTCATTCTAGAAGCAATTATAAGCATGCAAATTAAAAACTATAATTTGGAATCGCACTAGACGCTAAATAATCACCAATTAAATTGTTATCATCATTGCAAAAACAGAGCTATGTCGAAGGGAAACAAACCAGAACATCTAAGCCAAATAATGAGTGGATTTCGATTGCTTTGTTGTGTTAGATAAAGGAAAGTGACAAGACAACCAAAAAACTGGAAAACTTAATTGGTTTGGCGCATTATTAATGTATCGATGAGAGCAATTTGCAGAAACTTAGAAAACCCAACTATTCAATCTCTTATGTATTACTCCTTTCATTAAAAAATATAAGATATTTTATTTAAATCTCACTCTTTAATAAAATAGTTACCTACTTTCAAACTAACCTTATCTTTTCATATTTATTCCTATTAAACATTCTATAATAAATAAAGTCATTATCAATATGGGTATTTTAAAAAAAGATAATGATTATATATCGAAAGATTAAAAATGCCTTATATTTTGAATATCAAATTTTTTAAAAAATACTTTATATTTTTGAACGGAAGAAATATATATATTACACTTAGGGGTGGATCAAGAACTTGGTATGTAGGGGTTAATTTAAAAAAATAATTTATTTATTTATTGTTTTTTATTTTATAAAATTGAAATAAATAACATTATTAAAATAATCTTATAACATAAAAATTTAAAAAATAATTATTTACATCAACATTTTTAAGAATGTGAAAAATATTCAAAGAGAAATCATAAGTTAATACATCAATTTTTTTTACAAAATGATGAACATATAAAAATTTATATTTGTATTTTTTTAACACATTCTTACTTCTATGTTAATAATTTGAATAAGAGATTAAGATAATTCTTTAGATTTCATAAAGAACAACAATTAATATATACATGATATATATTTTTATGAAATATATACACAAGGTATCAACTCTAAATAATTATATACTCCCTCTATTCACAAAAGCAAGGCATTTCTTACTAAATCTCACCTCTCAATAAAATAATTAGCTACTTGTTAACTAATTTTATATTTTTATATTTACTCCTATTAAACACCTTACAACAAATATAAAGTCATTATCAATAGGGGCACTCTTAAGAAGAAAGGTCAATAATTATACCTTAAAAGACTAAAAATAACTTATATTTTGTAACATCCAACTCCTTAAAAAATGTACATTTTTTAACGGAGGGAGTATTTAATGTATATAAGCTAATATGAAATTTAAATAATAAACATTAATTTATTCAAAAATTTGCTCAATTTTTAAAGTAATACGTATTCTTTATAAGAATTTATTAACTTTTATAAATATAACAATATGTTAATAGTCTAATGTTGACTTATTGTGAAAAATATAAAGAAGGCTGTTAGAAAAAAAATGATATGATTGGCATGGGTGATTAAAACTTATCATATTTGTTCCCAAGAAAAAGTTTCTCAAACATGAAGTATATATTCACACTATATTAGTTGGAGGAAAAAGATCTTAATAAAAAGAAAAGGAGGTGAAAGAAGATGAGGGGATAAGAGAGGGAGGGGGGGCAAGGCAAGGTGACCAAAGGGGATGGCCCCTCCTCTCATTTGGTAAAAGGAAGGGGAGGGATAAAGACTCAAGAATGGGGAGAGGCCCCCTCTACTATGCACCTGGGTTCGCCTTTGATTACGTTACACTATATTTTAGCTATTTTAGGTTTATGTGTATTGTTCATAGATAACAAACATATCCTTACCAATTAAATAATGCTGAGGTTAATGATTACTTGGCTAGCGCAAAAAGTTATTTGGCCTTATTGTAAGGCGAATTCAATCTCAACAAAATCATATAAAATTTCTACAACCTTTAGTTACGAAATTTCTTCAATTACAATAAAAGACTCTAAATATACCCCAAGGACGAACCTATGTGCATCATAGAGGGGTATTTACCCCCACTAGATAAGGGGAAAAATTAAAAGTTATACCCCCTGAAAAATTTTCAATTGGCACCTTGAAATCATGCCTCTTTAAAATTTTCTACTCTCTTCTTTTAAAAATTATCTAATTCAGAAACTTATCTGTATATAATAAACTTAAATAAAAGGGCAAATGCCACTGAGATCCCTAGAAGAGAAAAAAATAGTGAGGGCGATGAACCTTCAGTTACTTGAAACTCTCACTATTTTTTTCCCCCTCTTCTAGAGCCTTCACTGTCATTCTCCCTAAATAAAAATAGTTTTAGAATGGAGGAAACAATAATTAAAAAAATAAATTTCTATGATTGTATAGATAAAAAAATCATCTCAAAAACTTTTTATACTATACGAAAGAAAGTAGATGAATGTTATTTAATAAATACTTAAATTAAAAACAGTATTATTTTCTAATATTTATAAAAATTTTGGTTTTTATAAAGACATAATTTTTTACTACTATTATAAATTTTGTCTTTAATTTAATTTAATAAACTTAAAACTATTATAAACTTTGCCTTCACTAGTCAATTCTTCTAAGTCCATCACTGAATGTACCTCTCGATCTATGGATGCAGCTAATAGCTATGTGAGGGAATCGGAGCTCAAAGAGTTTAAGGTTTTCACAAATATCTTATGGCTGCTTATCTAGACCATCCGTAGAGTTGAAAAACAGGCAGGTTGATAGATAATACAAAAGTAGAGTCATGTTAGTTTAGGGACAGAACCCTGAAACACAACAAATCACAAGAACAAAAAGAAAGGGATGAAATTTATGACGAAAATAAAGAAAAAAATAAAATAAATAATAGAATAATGATCAAGGATAAAACCTTCTAGAGCACCTACATCTAAAAACCTTAACTTTTGAAGATAACACAAGAGTTGGTCAAGCTCTTGATCACGTCTGTTTCTTACACGGGATGTCACTACAAAGCACTAAGGCTCATAAGAGTTATAAACTCTAAAATAAATAATTTTATTCAACTTCTGTTTCATTTACAAGAGGGAGCATGTCTAATATATATAGACTCATAGAAAAGACTATTTTCTAAAATTAAAACCCTAATTTCCTAATACTAAAAGGAGAAGGAAAATAACATAAAATAAAGAAAAAAAAATTCAGTAACATAATTTAGGAGATGTGATCCTAAAATTATGAGATTACAAAACTTAAAAATGAAAAATAATATCATTAATCTTAACCTTTGACTAGACTCAAAATAAAAAACTATGATTAGTCTTGTTCCTTAAGAAAGAGAGTCAAGTCAAAGGACAATTAAAATAAAAACAATTAATGAAACAATTAAAGGATCATAGAAGATTCAAAGTCACACCACCCTTAACTTTTTCACTAGGATTTCATGCCTCCTTGCTTGCAAGAGGCTTGCTACTTATAGTCTTCTTTACATTGGGCTAAGGTTTACACCTTTTGAGCTTGAC